TAAAGCCAACAAGTTCATCAAAATGTAAAAAAAAAAAAAAAAAAAAACGAGAGGTACTGTGAGCGATGAGCTCACTAAATGATACCCCCGCCTCCCATATGGTTATAACTGGTGAAAAAGTCCATCTTTTCCTGTGGCCGGGAAACCCAAAATATCTGTCGGATCAAAAAGTAAAATAGGAGGTGCACAATGGCAATACGTAATAAAGATTCTGTGAAAGTTTCATCAAATTTCATTCAGTGGTATGAGAGGAGTTGCGGATATGAGATGGGTACCCCAAAGCGTAACAGACGGACGGACGGACAGACGGACAGACGTACAGACGGACGGAATTAACGATTACTATATACCCTCCCGCTTTTCAAGCGGGGAGTATAATAAAAAGAATTATTTAACTCTAAAACCTCAATCATATTTCCAAAAACGACCAACGACCGACGGCTATTGAGGCAAAAATAGGATTTTTCTGGTGACAGTCCGCTTTTCATAGGTCTTTGCCTTGCCCGGTTTTTACCTTTTTTTCCCTTGGCCGACCAATTTTGTGTCTGTAATAATTTTTTCTGCGTCGGTGGCCGATTCCTCCATTTGAAACATCTAGGAATTGGGTTTTCGTAAATGTCGGCTGAAGATGAAAATCAAATTGCAGGTTAGCGAACAATAAACGGGCGACAGCTGGACGACTAAGAATTATTTTATTTTTGAAAATGATCGGCGTTCTTAAAGGCATGAACGGTGTTCATCAAACTCAAACATAAAAAAAATGTTATACGACTTATGCCTAGGTCACATTTAAGCCGATAATCGGGCAACTAATTTTTTCTGGTCTTGTCGGCTGAAAGAACATGATCGGCCGACATGAGAATCGGGCGACACGAAGCAGTCACATTAATTCCCAGGAACACTGGTGACTTGGATAAATAACACCAAAAAATCTTTTTTTCTTAAAAATCAGCAATGTTTTTCATAGATTAATAATCAGATAGGTGACGTAAGTTATGTTTGCAAAGCAAAGTGGCAGAATTTTGTAAGATTGTTACTCAATCTTCAAAATGTGTGCAAAATTTTGTATAGAATTGCATAAAAAACGGCAAATGGCGTATATCTAAGCAGCAAAGAATACTTAAGATTTCTTTATATCTTAATTATTTATGTTATTTCCGTTCAAAAATATATATCAATCCATGCATCAAAATTTTGTTTGTGTTATGTATCCTTGATAGGTTAAATATTCACAAGTCGGCCAATCGTCGCCCGATCATCGAGCTCTGAGCTACATTTTAATTTTAACCGTCGGCCGAAATTTTGGATATCCTTATAGTCGAACGACAGACGAACGACTTAATAAACTGACCGCCGATGGTCGAAGGTTGGTCGACGGATAACTTCAACTGAAGAAATCGGCCACCGACGCAGAAAAAATTATAACTTGGACCGATGGACTCAAAATTGGTCGGCCGACAAAAAAAGAGGTCAAAATCGGGCAAGATAACGGCCGATGAACTGCCGACTGCCATCCGAAGAATCCAATTTTTGCTTCAAAAACCGTCGGCTGCAGTTCGTTTTTGGAAATGTGACGGGGGTTAAAGAGACAACAGATGGACACATTGCTATCGCATAAGTACGATGGCCCATAATGCCTAGGTCACATTTAAGCCGATAGTCGGGCAACTAACTTTTTCTGGTCTCGTTGGCTGAAGGAACATGATCGGCCGACAAGAGTATCGGGCGACACGGAGCAGTCACATTAATTCCTAGAAACACCGTTGACTTGGCTAAAGAACACAAAAAATCTTTTTTTTTTATAGAAATCAGCAATATTTTTCATAGATCTATAATCAGAACGGTGACGTAAGTAATATGTTTGCAAGATAAAGTGGCAGAATTTTGTAAAATTCTGACCAAATGTTGAAAATGTGTGCATAATTTTGTATAGAATTGTATAAAAACGACAAATGGCGCATATCTAAGCAGCAAAGAATACTGAAGATTTCTTAATATCTTACGGATTAATAATTTATTTTATTTCCGTTCAAAAAATATATATCAATCCATGCATCAAAATTTTGTTTGTGTTATGTTTTATATTCACAAGTCGGCCAATCGTTGTCCGATCATCCAGCTCTAAGCTTCAGTTTGATATTAACCGTCGGCCGAAATTTTATACACTCTTATTGTCGAACGACTGACTTTAAAAACTGACCGCCGATGGTCGGACGATGATCGAAGGTTGGTCGACGGATAACTTAAATTGAGAAATCGGCCACCGACGTAGAAAAAATTATAACTTGGACTGATGGACACAAAATTGATCGGCCGACAAAAAAAGAGGTCAAAATCGGGCAAGACAACGGACGATGTACTGCCGACTGTCACCCGAAGAATCCCATTTTTGCTTCAAAAACCGTCGGCCGCTGGTCGTTTTTGGAAATGTGACTGGGGTTTAAGCTTTCCTTATCTCAAAATAAATTTCATTTATTTTAGATTGTGCAAAACGACATAAAGAAAATACAACAATTTTTAAAAAAAGATGCTTGAGTGTACAGTTTACACAAACCTGGAAGGATAACTTTCATCTAATATTTATTTTAATAAATATACTACAAGAAGATTCATCTATAATCGCTAGTACTAATATTAAACAATGCATTAATGTAAGCAATGATACTATAATAACAAATAACTGTAAAGTCTCAACAATTAAAATTATCTAGATCAAAATTTACTTTCAGTAAAAAAAATTCGAAAAATGGAAAAAAAATTGTTGTCATCATTGTAATCTTTTTTAAAGAGACATGGAGATCTGTTTAAAACTAAAAAAAATTGAAACGGTTTAAAAAGAGTTAAACATGCAATCTTTATTAAAATTTTCTTTCTTTACAAAAACCTCAAAAAAGATTTTATCTTTCTGCTCTGGCTTAATTTCTGAAATTCTCTAGACACTAGGGAAATACTTAAACTAGAACTACTGATTCTAAATTTGGATTTTCAATCTTTTGATTACTAGTAGTTTAATTAGTTCGTCGCACTACCTCGCAATTTTGTTTTCAAGACTTAGATTACTATCAAATGAATGTGGATTTTAAAAAAGGTAATTCCCAAACAAGAGGCCCATGGGCCTTACAGGTCACCTGAGTATCATGTACCAACTTTCCAACAATTGAATTTGGTTCGTGTTTTAACCATAGGCCATGAAATTCACAGTTTTGAAAGAGGCACTAATGCTTATCATAATTATACACTTAGAATGCTTACTATAGCTACTTAATACCCAGAGATAGATCAGAGTAACAAAGAGAAAATGCACTTCCACTTTATTACCAAATGTGCACCAAGAAAATGCACTTCCACTTTATAACCAGTTGTGCACCAAACCTACAGGAACCACTAACCCTTAGGTCACATTTTTCCAAATTTTGGAAATTTTATTTCATCAAAATGGTTGATTAATATCAAAGAGGAGATTTCAAAGCATTAATTTATTATCACACTATGTAACCCCCCTCCCCAAGAACCAAGACCCAGGGGGCATGAAATTAAACATTTTGCTAGATGCACCTTTCTTTAACATAGATATAGAAACCTAGATTATTGGCCAAGGAGCAAAGGAAAATATTTTCAGAGAATTAATGTATATTTACTATATAATTCAAAGAGTCCCCCCCTTTACACAAAAACCCCTGACCCTGGGGCCATAAAATTCACAAGTTTGGTTGAGACACTCTTGCTCACTATAAATATATACTAAGTTAGTTTATTTAATACCTAGGAGCAGAGAAGATTTTACAAGCATTAATGCATTTTCACTATATAATCAATAGAGCTCCGCCCTAACACCAGAACACCTGACACTGTGGACATAAAATTCACAATTTTGGAAGAGGCACTCTTGTTCATCATAACTATATACTTAGTTTATTTAATACCAAGGAGCAGAGAAGAAGATTTTAAAATAGTGAATGCATTTTCACTATAAAATCAATAGAGCCTCGCCCTAGCACTAGAAACCCTGACCCTGGGGCCATGAATTTCATAATTTTGGTAGAGGACTCAATGCTCATTACATTCATGCCAACAGTTTGACTGCTTGATGTCCAGGAGTAAAGAAGATTTTTAATGATTTCATTAATTTTAGTGGTTTTGACCCCACCCCCCAGGCCCTAGGGGGGGGGGGGGGTACCATAAAATTCACAATTTTTGTTCCCCTTCACCCAAAGATGCTGTACACCAAATTTAGTTGAAATTGCTTCAGTGGTGTCAGAGAAGAAGCTTAAAACACACGACGCACGACTACGGACGAAAACGGATAGCAATAGGTCACCTGAGTGACTCAGGTGACCTAAAAATGAATGCTAATTTTGTTCATTCTATATACAATATATAATGCTGGATATAAACGTAAATCACATCAATGCTCTGTAAAGAAAAAAAAAATACAAGTACACTAAGCTCTGACTCGAACACATATTTTACAACAGACTCGAGATCTACAACATAATTTATTAACAACAGAACTCTTTTTTATGTTCTATTCATTTGACAATTTTTTAGGCACATACTGTTGATATTATATTGAATTAATCATACATATTATTATACCTTTATTAATTTCGAATCATAATCTTCGCTATAAAACTTTTGATTTTCTGAGTACATGTAATGCTTAAATGTGTTTCACTTTGTACGAGTTTGTACGCATTCAGTATTGAAGAAGCGTACTATAAGGTCGTGTCTGTCCCATGAAAATATGAATGAATATAAAATAATCACACATTTGAACGCGTTTAATTCTCGTGAAATTTTCAAAGTATTCGTTAAAATATAGTAGCATTTTACATTCCTTGCACATGTGTGCTATTGAATAATACAAACAATGGGTATTTATTTTTGTTTACTTTGTGCTAGTGTTTGTTTCTGATACACTTTATCACTGCTCCTACAAGACGTAGGATTGCGATGACTGCAGAAACAATACTAAAAATGGCTTCAACTGAGAGACATTCTTTCTAATTGCTTTGAGCACCAGGAACGAATTTTCTCTAGATAGTGCTGGTTTCTGATACACTTTATCACTGCTCCTACAAAACCTATAGCTGTGATGACTGAACCAATAATACTAAAAATGGTTTCCACTGTTGAGAGACCTTCTTCCTCGTTGAGACCTTCTTCTTCCTCGTTGCTTTGAGCACCAGGAACTGTTTTAACAGATATCCACTGTTTTACTTAACTTTGTGATATTCCATTTATACATTTACGACGGTTGTCCAAAAAAGTTGTAGACAGGGAAACAATTTAGTTTATCTTTCCTCAATTTAATTTCTTTCTTCTTTTTTTGTCATAGCAAAAGGTAATATTTTATGATCATACATTTCAAGTTTCGTGATAAAATCACATTTAATAAGAAAATTATGAAAAAATAAAGAGAGCATGCAAGTGTACATCGGCGCATGAAAGCAAGCGTTATATACTTCTCTTATATGATCATGATATCTTTTTCTGCTTCAAACACGCCCTTTAACATCCAGTAACTATTTTTAAAGTGAAAAAAAAACCACTCTTGACTAAGGAACTTATTTAAATTCTGTACTAACCTTTTTTTTAGCAGATTTAAATTTCAGTCAAAATTAAGTCGAAAGATCACCTTACATTGTAGGCACCAGAAAATGCACCTTTTTGACGTCGTTCATGGCCCAAATCTTTCCTACTGTCTGTGTCTATGGACAGACGAAATGTTCCTCAATAATATATAATTTTTTTTAAGATTTTGTCATTGAAGTATTGCTTCTTTAACATGATTACTCAAAAAATATTGAGGTACCTTACCAGGATCTTGTGCAAGATACCAGAGAATTGCATTTCTTATATAATCTTTTAAGCAAAAAAATAATTTGCCAAAATAACATTTTAGTGTTTCAAAATTAAAAGAAAAAAAAAACAATTAGAAACCGGTTTAAAAATCAGAAAGTAGTAATAATTTGTACAATTATAGGAGTTTTATGAAGAGACTTACTTTTACATTTGACAGCTGACTTTTACATTTTAGTGATTGGAGTTTGTCTCTGTGTAAATTGTAAAAGTCAGTCGTCGATTGTAAAAGTAAGACTCTTCATGAAACTCCATATTTCATACGTTGTGAAGATAAACAAAAGAGAAATTTGGGGAACGTATCGTCTGACCTTAACAAACAGTAAACTACATTTTACATGCGGGTACATGTATATATAATTATGTTCGGTATGAGGGAAACTATCATTGAATCTCATACCATTTAAAAACAACTTCTCTACTAGAATCAAGTGTGTTTTATCACTGTACTCTCTTTCCCGTCTCTGATATATATAAATCATATTCAAAACAATTTATTACATCTCCGTTCGCCGTTTAAGCGTTTGACGACGTAAGTTTCATCAAACTAAAGATTTCAACAATACATTTGAAAATCTGGACACCAGTCTGCTTATTATGCTATTTATATGGAAATTTTCATGACGTCGGACGTCATTGTTTTTCAATGTCTGATTCCTCCACCTCATACACATTTTTTGAAGAGATTCCTTAGACCTGCGTACGGACTTAAACCTGTCTTGTTTATAACTTTACATTGTCATGAACAGTGGCTTTCAATGCATATGATATTTCAAATGGATTTATACATTGGGAGACATTCTCGCTTGATTGTGCCAGCATATTTAATTTTTGAAGTTCAACATCTGATCAACATCAGTTTTGGCGTGAATGTATTTCACTCCTTGACTACAAATCGACATTTACTATGCATTCTCTGAAACGTTTTTGCATTAAAAACCAAGTTATCTGGATGCGTTTTATTTCTCTGTAACCAGTTTAAACATTACCCGATGTCTATACCATTTTTTTCAAAACTTTATAGAATGTCCGAAAAGGAAACCCCTTCCCCTTTTCGACGTCATTTCAAGGCCTTATTTGTTTGGACACAACATGTAAAACGTAGGATAAAATTTTATATAACTTCCAGAATGAGGTAATAATACTCCGTATTTTATGGATTAGTACTGCTCCAAGACGTACCTAAATTAAAAGGATTTTTGGATGTCAAATGTTTATATCAAAAGAGTTTTTCCTATTTACATTGAAGTCGAAAAGACGTCATGTTCGAGGTTGCGCCTATAAACATACCATTGCTTACAAAATCATTACTTTTTTTATTAAAAAAAATTATTTGAGGTTTATTCTATAGATATAGAAGATGATGCTATCTAGATATTTTAAAATTCTTTGATTTACCTGAAGCGGTTTTAATTTTGTGACGCTAGTCCACGAACTTTTTGATATATACCCCCTAGTAGTTCCAAAGAAATAAAAGCAAATGTAATAGTATTATGCGTAAATTATTCCAAATTTTGTTCATGCGCCGACAAGCTAAATCGGCCTTCATATAAATCGTCTCAGTAATATGAAAGAAATATATATTAATTAAGGACAGACGAGATGTGCCTTAATAATAGATAAATTTTTCTAACAGTTTGTCATTGAAGTATTGCTACTTAAACATGTTTACTCACAAAAAATTGAGGTACCTTACCAGGCATTTCTGCAATATACCAGGGGTAGTTTTTCTTATATAATCCTTTGGGGAAGAAAAATAATTTTCCAATTTCAAATGTTTAAGTGTTTGGATTTTTTAAAAAAGGTTTAGAAACTGGTTTAGAAATCAGAATGTTACTAAAATTTTGAATATTTTTTATACATTACGAAGATATACAATACAGATTTTGAGGAACGTCTCGTCTGACCTTAAAGAGAATTCACAATATTAAAGAACATTTAATATATATAATATGAGAGATATATATTAAAGAGAATTCATAATGTTAAAGAACATTTAACATATTATGTCTATGCGGAATTTGGTTAGTATTGGTTTCACATTAAAATAGATACTATCATTGTCTACGACTTTTTGGGACACCCCTCGTATATATTAATTTATATAAGCTGTACCAGCTATGCAATAATCATTAGTTGTTGCCCCCTTTTTTGCTTAAATTTACATTATTTAATCAAAAACAAGTTGAATTTGATAAACATATATGCAACAGGAGCGTCCTGTGTTAAGAAAAACAACAAAGTAAAGGGATTACAAAAGATTGCAAACTAGCAAACTAATACAAGAGGCCCACGGGCCTTATAGGTCAAATGAGTATCAAGAAACAACTTTCCAACAATTAAATTGATTCCTGTTATATCAAAGGCCATGAAATTCAAAATTTGAAAGAGGCACTATTGTTTATCATAACTATATACATAGCTTATTACTTTGGTTACTTAGTATCCAGAGGTACATGTAGACCACTTTATAACCAGGGGCAAAATCTTTCAAGATTCTGGAAAATTTATCATAAATTTTATTTCATCATAAATGGTTGATTAATACCAAAATTAGACTTCAAAAAATTTTCAGACTAAGTAACTCCCAACCTAAGTACCCTGACCCAGGGGCCCTGAAATTAACCATTGTGGAAGAGGAACTTTTCATCATCATTCAAATATACTTCAACATTGGCATAATACCCAGAAGCAAAGGAAAAGGTTTTCTAAGAATTCATGCATTTTCACTATATAATCAGTAGAGCCCCGCCCTAACACCAAAACCCCTGACCCTTGGGGCCTGATATTTACAAATCTGGAAGAGGATCCTTCATCATCATAACTATGCGCATAGTTCATTCTGGAGCAAACCGTTCATGGTAGCTCAGTCTGTAGATCGCTCGCTCCGTGATCGGGAGGTCATAAGTTCGTATCTCGCCGCGACTGATCCTGTCGATAAAATGGGTAGCAACTGTTCCTTCGCCATGCGCTCGGCACTTTGAAGTGAAAGTTGCGGATCCAACGGATGAGACCTTAAAAACCGAGGCTCCGGGTCAGCGTCAGGCGCTGGCACGATAAAGACCCCTCACTGCTCAATGGCCCTGAGTAAAAGGTTTAAATTTGAAGCCCGTCACCGGCATACGGTGACATCTCCATATAAGTGAAAAATTCTCGAGAGGAACGTTAAACAATATACAATCAATCATTCAGGAGTTTTAAAGAATTTTATGTATTTTTACTATATAATAAATAGAGCCCCGCCCGAACCCCTGACCCGGGGCCATGAAATTCATAACTTTTAAAGAGGCACTCTTATTGAACATAACTATGTACTTGGTTAGTAAGTTTAATACCCAGGAGCAGAAAAGAAGATCTTCAAAAAATAATAATGCATTTTCACGATACTATATATACTATACTATAACATGAGTAGAGTATAATATATATATATATACATTCACTTTAGCACCTAAGAAGCCTTACCCTGGAGCCATGAAATTCATAATTTTGGAAGAGGCAGCCTTATTCAACATAATTATGTGTTTTGTTTGTTAATTAAATGTCCAGGAGCAAAGAAGAAGATTTTCAAAGAAATAATGCATTTTCACTATACAATCTATATAGCCACACCCTAGCACCTAAGAACCCATGACACTGGGGCCATGAAATTAACAATTTTGGAAGAGGCAGTATTATTCAACATGACTGTGTACTTACTAAGTTTATTTAATGCCCAGGAGCAGAGAAGAAGATTTTCAAAAAATAATGCATTTTCACTGTATATTTAGCTCCGCCCTAGCACTAGAACTCATGACCCAAGGACTATGAATTTCACAATTTTTGTAGAGGATTCAATGCTTCTTATAAGCATGCCAACAGCATGACTGCTTGATGTCCATGAGTAAAGAAGATTTTTAAAGATTGCAGTAATTTTAGCTGTTTTGGTCCCACCCCTCAGCGCCCCCCCCCCCTCCCGGGGCGAGGGTCAATGGAATTCACAATTGTTCTTCCCCTTCACCCATAAATGCTTGAAGCCAAATTTGATTGAAATTAGTTGTGTGGTTGCAGAGAAGAAGCTGAAAATATTCAAATGTAAACGCACGACGACGGACGAAACGGATAACAATAGGTCGCCTGAGTTTACTCAGGGGACCTAATAAAGTCATTGTAAAAGTAAATACCCCCAGTACTTAGAAATACATTAGACATGCCTGGAAATATGCACCTACAGTGGGGCTTGTTTAACTTCAATTGAACATCAACAGAAATAAGTTTTTTTTTTAATTATACCTTTTAATGATGATTAAACTCGATCTCGCGCTGAAGAATCCAAGATATATAAGCTTGTCAATTTTTTCAAATGCATTTCCTAACATATTCTTGCACAATAAAAAGAATTAAACCAAATAGCATCATTATAAACATTCCTTATATTGATAAATTTTGACAAGATATTTAGATATTTGCAGCCATACCATTTTAATGATAAAATACAAAATAATGTAGCTTTCTAAGATGTATTTGTGCTATAATCTTGCTAATTTACTGTAAACGTATTACATTTAGCGGTGTATTCTTTTGAGCGATTTTGGCGGCAAGCAGAGTCCGCTAATTCAAGTACATCGCTAAATGTCTTGTACATTAACTTTTATAACTATCAACTTCAGATAGCGCTAAATTAAATCTACGCTAACTTGTTCAAATTGAATTTCCGCCAAATATCGTACACGCCAAATGTAATACATTTACAGTATTACATGTCTATATATTTATCATATTTACCATAACATTGTTGGATAGTATTGCTTCCGACAGTTGAAATATGTCCCTGAGGACAAAGTATACAATTTGTCTGACCAACAAAACTTTGGTAATATCCTGGTGCACACCATTGACATCTATCACCAACTTGATATGAACCCGCTGGGCAATATGCTTTAAATTACAACGTATATATATATATAGAGAGAGAGAGAGAGAGAGCATGCGCGGATCTAGAGGGGGTCGGTGGGGTCAGGACCCCCCTGGAATTTGCAAGTTGATTAAATTTATATACTTAAGCAAGAAGAAAGTTACCTTAGACCCTCCACGGAAAACGCCGACCCCCTTGTAAACGCTAAATTGTGTTAAATTGGTATGAAATGTCAAAGCTTTGAAGCATGAGAAGTCAACGATTAAGTGAGAATAGAAGTGAGATACTGTTATTTGGATATTAGTTTTAACAGAGGATTGTTAACAATACACGTTTTTATAACATTAATTATTATTTATAAAGCACATTTCACAACAACTCTTTAGCTAAAATAACTGCCCTAGGTGAAGAAATATCAATATAGAAAGCACAAAGAAATTCACTTTTATATGGATACCCACTTCCGCCCCAGCCCAGGGTTGAACTCTCGACCTTCGGAATCTGTCTGGGAGACAGATTCGTTGGTTGGGTAGAAGAAACAAAAAGTTCTACTACCGTATAGCGGGTTATTTTAGCGGGTGTTATTTTTGGATAAGAGTCATAGCGCATTTGATAGGCATTTTCGCCTACTCTAGTAGTGATTTCTTAAATACATTGTTTGAACGAAATTTTGTCATACAATCTTACTTTATACATGCCTTAAAGCAAATCACACAAAAATGATATTTAGATATTAAAAGTTTCCTCATATAATATATATGAAAATTGTTCAGTTTGAATGGGGTATATAGTAAATACAGAGGTATCCCCCTGAACAATGACAAACTGTAGCCAAAGACCATTCTTGACCAGAAAAACAATTTTTGAATAATTTTTTATGCCCCCGTAAACGACATTTCAGGGGTATATATTTTTTGTCGTGTCCGTCTGTCTGCATGTCTGTCTCTCTGTTAATCTGTCTCTCTGTTTGTCTGTTTGTCCGCAAAAACTTTAACCTTGCCCATACTTTTTGATTTAGTGGAGCTATGACTTTCATTTTTCACATGTGTATGTCTTGTGACAAGATCTTTCTTTGGGTACCACCACATTTGACCTTGACTTCGGAGTTTGACCCACTTTAACACAAAAATTTCAAATTTTTACTCTGGCCATAACTTTTGAACGGTGGATACTACGACTTTTATACTTCACATATATATTCTTTGTGGCAAGACCTTTAATTTGAAACCACCAACCTTGACCTTTTGACCTTGACCTTATAGATTTCCAGACTTATGAAAAATATTAATCTTGGCAATATATTTTCAATAAAGGCTAGGAATTTTATACTTCACATATGTAATCCTTATGACAAGACCTTTCATTCCATACCAATAACCTTGACCTTCTGACTTTTAAAATCTTTTAACCTTGGTCATAACTTTTTAATGGTTAGGGCTAGGGCTTCCATAATTCACATATGTGTTCTTTGGGGAAATACCTTTCATTGGATACCAATAATATTGACCTTCTGACCTTAATCTTGAAGATTTCTATACTTATGAAAAATTTTAGCCTGGTCACAATTGGGAACAGATGGTGATAGGGATTTCGTGTTTCACAATTGTATTTCCAGTTAAAGGACCATACTTCGGGTACAATATATTACATTTTGCATTTAAGAAAAGTTTATTCTTTACTATGTTGCCATACGGGGGCATCCGTGTTTCACAAAAACATCTTGTTTTGCATGTGGTTGCACTTCATCACATTTAGATAATTCTGGTTAAAGGTATATATTGGTTATAGGTGGTCCTCATATTGAAATGTTGAAAATATGTATTTAATTTTTCTTCTCATATTATTTTAAGATTCGACAATCTTGAAATAAATTTGTCCATTTGATTTCAATGACTTCGAGGCGTAATGGTATGATTGTTGATTTCTGTTTTCAATGAAAATGTAGTATTTTGTAAGTGACAACGCTGCTGCTAATGGACATTTGCGGAATAGCGTACAGTGGACAACAGACTTCAGACTTCGGACTTTAAATAAGGGGGAGGATCTCAAGGTGTAGAATTTATAAATCACATTAATTATTTTACGTTTGAATGAATAATGCAATAGCATTTGATATTATGGTTATCAATAAACAACATACTTCTGCAACATTTATAAATAGGAAATAAGGAACACTTGGATTACATTATGTTTCAGTCAGTTTCTTTGCAATCAGAACTCGCATCGAAAATGTGTTTTCATTTTCTCTCTTACTTACATCTTTATTTAATAATTCTTCTTTATACGAATTTTATTATTAAATATTTGACTTTCAAGATTTTTCAGTTTTAAAAATTGTTTTCTTTATGCCTGTTTTAACACCCCCCCCCCCTCCGAAAAAAGTGAAAAGGATGTGCCCTAATGTACAAATGTATATAGAATTTGAAATAAATAAAGAGTGATGTACATTTGACTTACCTGGAAACATGATGCAGATTCCTGATCTACTCAGCTTTCTCAGATTTACACCAATTTCAATTACCTGCTTCAATCCATTTCAATAAGCAAAGCTTATATACAGACTTAGTATCAGAACTCAAACTCTAATTTGGCTAAATAAAATTAGGGTGCAGTACGTAAATTAAAAAGCCAGTTGATCCCACCCTCTCACAAGCACACACGTTTTGGTACAGTACTTGTATAGGCAGTGAAACTATCTTAATATGCAAATGTATCTAAAAGATAGAAATTAACATACACACACCCTTTTGTAAATACACTCCCCTCCCTGAGGATGGAATTTTCGAGTTTAGAATATATTTTCCTTTTTCGGTTTGTCAAAAAAAAAATTTCAGTGAAGTTGTACCTCAACCCCCCCCCCCCCAAAAAAAAATCAAAATCGATAGTGTCTCTTCAGTACATATCTTATATATCTAACGACTATATGTTAACCAATTTTAATTCGCAAAGACTTTATTTTGCGATTAAACAGCGGTGAACTAGTACGCGACGGTCAATTTTCGCGATCAAGCCGATTTTGGATCTGTTATTAATTAACACACAGACTTTAGGGACCGGTTCACGGCGAGGAATATTCGCGATGACAAGGTTCTCATGAACTTCGCGAAAATTTCTCGCACGCCAATAAAAGTTGGTTTACAGTAACCGGAAACATTAAACTTTTAGTACTTTGATTATTTCTTTTTTTCAATATTCAAAAAAAAATGTGAAAACAAACAGTCAAACAAACAGAAAAAACATTTTTTTTTAATCTTTGAAAGACAGCTTTACTTATTGTCATTAAACTTGGTTTCTAAAATAGGCTCATTTAGTATAAGTTTTATATAGTAAAATGTTAAATCAAGTTTCGACAAAAGTCATGCTTTCTACTCAGTTCATTTTCCAACGACAAATGGCCCCGCAAATGGAAATTGAAAAGTATAATGCAAGTAATATATTACCCAAATTTGTGCATGCAGGGCGTAAAACATCCATTATTTAAAAAGGTTTATTTACAGTATATCACATTGATCAGAAGTTGTACTTTCAGTTTGCAAATTAGAAACAAATTAAATGTGAAGTTGAAATATAACGTCTGTACAATTCATTTTCTGAGAATGTAGTTTTTTGTAGTTCATATTTGATACTATTCAATTTAATAATGCTTACAAAAATATAAGTTATTTCGAGACAGTTTAATGTTCAGGAATAAATTCTTTGCAAACTTTCTAATAAAACCAATCAAAATACGAATTTCAAAATTCTTCGATTTAATTTTTTCATAGCTATTAGAGGTTTATACATTTTCAAATGATTTGTTATAAATTATATTTTTCAATTTTTTAAACCGCTCCCTTTAAAAAGTCCGCCTTTAAATGTCTGAAGTCCGAGGTCCGCTGTTCGCTGTACGCTATTTCGCAAATGTCCAATAACAGTAAGTTGGCGACTGACTGTTACCGAGCTAAAAGACTTGAGAAAAGTATAGTAGTTGACAAAGAACACTCTGAGAGAATAGAGATCTGTAAAAATTACGTTTTGTTATATTTTTATAATGACATTAAGCATTATTAATTAAATGCAACTTGTAATCTTTTTCATATTGTATTTTCTAATTTACCGTGGGATGAAGTGAAAAAATTATTGAACTTACCACAATTTCCAAAGTGGTTAAAACTTCCTTCTCCACAAATGGTTTCAGCGGTTATATATACAATGATTCCGTGCACTTCAACGAGATCTGTAAATCAAAGCATTTATTTGCACTGCGACGGAATTTATTCAGATTAATATAAGATTAGTTCTAATGAATATGCTTTCCATAACTCCCGGAGGACCTAGTAGTGAATATCTTTATGCCTCCGTAAACAAAGTTTCGGGGTATATTTTTTTGTTGTGTCCGTCCGTCTGTCTGTCTGTCTCTTTGTCCGCAAAAACTTTAAGCTTGCCCATAACTTTTGATGTAGTGGTGATATGACTTTCATATTTCACAAGTGTATTCTTTGTGACTAGAACTTTCTTTGATACCACCATATTTGAGTTTTTGACCTTGACCATGGAGTTTGACTCACTTTTACACAAGTATTCCAAACTTTTACGTTGACCATATCTTTTGAACAGTAGATACCAGGACATTAATACTTCACATTTGTATTCTTTATGGAAAGTCCTTTCATTGGATACCAACAAGCTTGACCTTTTGACCTTGGAGATTTCTGTACTTATGAAAAAACTTAAATCTTGCATGGCTACAACATTTAAACGGTGAGGGATATAGCTTTCATACTTCACACATATAATCCTTGTGAGAACTGAGAAGACCCTTCATTGGATACTGAGGACTTTGACCCTTTGACCTTGACCTTGGAGTTTGACCTACTTTTAAAAAGCAATCCTTGACCAGGATTTTTAAAAGGTTAAAGCTAGTACTTTCATACTTTATAATATAATTCGTAAGACAAAACCTTTCATTTGATAGCAAGACCTTTGACCCTTTGACCTTGGGGTTTGACCTACTTTTTAAAATTTTTAACCTTGGTCATAACTTTTGAACGGTTAGGAATAGGGCTTTCATACTTCATATATGTAATTCTTGTGACAAGACCTTTCATTGGATACCTCTTGACCTTGGCTATTTCAGTACTTATGAAAAAAACTTTAACCTTGGCCATAACTTTTAAACGCTAAGGGCTAGTGATTTCATGCTTTACACATGTAATTCTTGTGAGAAGACCTTCATTTGATACCAGGAAATTTGGCCCTTTGACCTTGGAGTTTGATCTACTTTTAAAAAGCAAGCCTTGACCATACTTTTTCGAGGGTTAGAGCTAGTGATTGCATACTTTGCATATTTAATCTTTGTAACAAGACCTTACATTTAATATCAAGACCTGTGACCCTTTGACCTTGACCTTGGAGTTTGACCTACTTTTTAAATTGCTAATCTTGGTTATACTTTTTGAAGGGTTGGGTTGGGACAAGGGCTTCCATACTAGAAAAAATATCAATTTCAACCTATTGATCGAGGTAAAACCAAAGCAAACCCGATGTAAATCAAATAAATGTTTAAATCACAAGCTATGAATTTCGAGTTTTTTGTCTACTTGTTCAAAACATCGAACTTTTTGAAAATAGGGGGTGCATAAAATTTTTCCTGCCCAGATAAACTATTGGGTCACAATAACCGCTAAAATAATTTGGTTTTCATGTTTTTGATATGCCATTTGTGATGTAACAATCTCCCTTTTCGAACACTGACACTGCTTTTTCAAATTTGGAGAGTATACAGCTCAACGCACTTTTTAATCGCACCAAATAAAGTTACATTTTTCTGGCAATAAAGCTTAAATTATCGAGTTTCAGTACGAGGCATAACCCTCATAGTATTAAATTGTTTCATGTTAAAGACGCACATTCTCTCAATCATTATCTTTTGTTTTAAAAGTCAAAGTTCTAAAAGGAAATTTGTTTTTAAATTGTATGATTTTAAAAGTGTATGATTCTATCATAAGTTTTACAAATTGATTAATGGAACTTTCTTTTGATACTATTTGGTTGAAATGTTCAAATTTACTTCTTAAATATAAGTATTTTTCGAGGTACTTTACACATTTTTCATACTTGTCTTGGTTTTGTCGAATTCAGCGGTGAAAAAATGACAAAACTGAATAAAAAAATCGTGTAAAAGGATAGGATAATAAAGTATTGTTTATCTTTCAACAAAGTAAATTGTAAATACCGAAAAGAGGATTCTTTTACATTTATGGTCTGAAACTTTAACATTTTGCGTTGGAAAGTATCTTTCATGATGCTAGATTTCTTGAAGTTAACCTGAAAAAAGCCATTTTGTTAGCATGGAAAGCAGTCGAACAGATGAGAAGTACTTCTATCATCTTGCGCGTTAGTGTTATATTAATGTTCAGAAAACAGAGAAATTACATGAACTGCACTCTTCCTGCATTAAGGCAAACCAAAAGTATGCTTTCAAATGAACGGATACAAAGACGGTTGCATTTGACGAGAAACATGGAAAAAACCATTTGCAAACTCTCATAAGATATCAGCCAAGAGCATATAAAATTTCTACCAATTATAATGTGTGAATTATGTTTAAAGTAATGGGTTATAATCAAAATTAAATTATAAATTATGTTTAGAATATATATTTTGTTGTTACATTACACATTTTTTTGCATTATAACAATGTGACCTTAATTTGTGCGAAAAACCATGTGAGGTTAAAACGTGTGTTGAGCTGTATGTAGTGTTATTACACTTTGCGTTGATAAAATTTGTTTAGGGACTAGAAATATATTATATACGAGTCGTATACATGTAATAAAATGCCTTAATCTCCAATTTATATTAACTTGTTTATTTTCTGAAAGGATTTTTAACGATGTAATAGTATTAGTGTTGGCAACGATTACCTGGTTAACCGGTTAACCGTCGAAAGATGCGAGTATCGGTGAGTAAAACTGCTATTCGCTTACTCGGATACAAATACATTTTTCATAGTATTAAAATAAGTATAAAATATTTTTTTTGTTATTTATAAATGTATATTGACACAATTCCCTAATTTAATTACCGTTAGGCTTGCTCTAGTGGTTCACAAATAGGATCGATTTGTTTTGATTAGTTTAATTGATGACTTTAATTCCCATGGGGTACACGTTTTAAAGACCTAATTTAGACTTGTGTTAGTCAGGGCCCCTGAGAGTCACTCAGGGGAACATACTTTAACAAGATGCCGACGCAAACATCTAAAGCGTGTCATCTGTCAGACGAATTTATGTGAATCGGAGTTGTCGTATTCGAGTGGAACTGCAAATATGCTAAATCACATAAGATTGAAAATTAATTCGATAACTTGACTTGCATAAAACTCAAAAAATATAACCAGTAAATGCAAAGTGTTACAGGGTATGTTGATTTTCCTCGATCGCGACATATATCTTCTTCAGGTGTCGATAAAATCATTTTTAAAACAACAAATTCCCCATTTCAAGTGACATTTAAAATCAAAATTCTTCGAAGATATTGTGTATTTGGAGTCTGAATTTGTAAATAAAGTTCATTTATATTTCTATGTAAAACTTGGATTCCCTATTGTGGCCCCGCCCTACCCCCGGTGGTCATGATTTTTACAGTTCATATCTACACTATCCCAGCTAGGATGCTTCCATATAAGTTTCATCATTTCTGGCCCAATGGTTAGTGAGAAAAAGATTTTTAAAAATTTTTCCTTTATATTTTTGTATGTAAAACTTGGATTCCCTATTGTAGCCCCGCCCTAACCCGGGGGTCATGATTTTAACAATTTAGAATCTACACTACACCAGGATGCTTTCATATAAGTTTCAGCATTTCTGGTCCAATGGTTCTTGAGAAAAAGATTTAAAATTTTTTTTCCTATATTTCCTTTTTAAAATTGGATTCCCTATTGTGGCCCTGCCATAACCCTGGGGGTCTTGATTTTTACAATTCAGATTCTACACAACCCCAGTATGCTTCCACATAAGTTTCATCTTTTCTGGCCCAGTGGTTGTTGAGAAGAAATTTTTTTAAAAAGATTGTTCCTTTATATTTCTATGTAAAGCTTGAATTCCCTATTGTGGCCCCTCCCTACCCCCAAGGGTCATGATTTTAAGAAATTAAAATCTACGCTATTCAAGGATGCTTTCATATAAGTTTCGGCTTTTCTGTCCACTGGTTCTTGAGAAGAAAAATTTTTAATGACCTCACCCTATTTTTGTCTTTTCTTGATTATCTCCCCTTGGAAGGGGACTTGGCCCTTTATTTTAACAATTTAAAGTCCCCATCACAAAAGGATGCTTTGTACTAAGTTTGGTGAAAATTGGCCAAGTGGTTCTTGAGAAGAAGTTGAAAATGTGAAAAGTTTACAGACGGACGGACGGGCGGACTATGGACAAAATGTGATCAGAAAAGCTACCTGAGCCCAAGGCTCCATACATTCCATACATTGTCTCCTCTTGATTGTTACCTTTTTAAAAATAATTTAAGATAATGTTAAATTTCTTACTCTGCTGTAGCGAATCGGAGCTCCTTTTACGTCGGTCTTGATCAAGGGAAGTTACTACCACTTTTCTCAGCTCCAAAAGCTTTGATTCCATTCCATAGTAACTACGAACCAAACTTAGCAGCGCGTTGGAGACTACAATGTATGATTTAGCATTAAATTTAAATGTTTTTTCTCTATACCATTGCTTTAAAAAAGAACAAACTCACTTTGCATTAAAACTTTGTTGCTAGACCAACCATGTTTTAGTTTCGTAAGTAATAAATCTTTTTATGCATTATAACAGTTTTGACAAAAGGAATTGCATTATAACACAATTTTATTTTGAATTTCAAATTTGAAAGTCAAAGACAATGTAAGAGAAGCGGTTTGTGCTTAATGCGGAATCTTTGGCAAAGGATGACTACACTGAAGGATAGACAAAAGGATGACTGCACTTAACGTTGTGTTTTGGGTCTTTTTCGATCGCTTCTGTTGTTGCTTTTAATTTTTAAGTTTTAAATCTTAACTTTAATTTTACCTTCATATATTAACTACAGAATTATGTCAATTTGACACCTAATTGAAATGTTATAAACAAATTTAGACTGTAATATAGTTATTAAATTCACGTGTTCTGTCCTTACGTTTTTCCAAAAACAGAGCATATACACTTACCTGCCCTTGATCAGGTCTGGACGATTTCTAAATATGGAAGTCAAGAACGATAACCGAAAGTTGCTATAAATGTACATCAAGTACACGTAATTATTTTTCTGTCCAATCAGACAACAGCATTTTTACACACCCCAAAACATATTTTAAAAGAACAAAAAGATAACACGTGCTTTTGTTTTTTTCTTCAAAAAGATTTTTTTAAACAAAAAATCTGTAGAAGTAAGATGAAAACTTTTGAAGAATAAGGTATTCCCCATATTTTTACCGTGAACAACCTTGACATTTTTTTCTCGGTAAAGAAACAAAATAATGTACGATAGAATGTAATCGTTTACAGAGGTATAGATCGCACCAGCAAGTTTTTATCAAGTTCAATTATAACATTTACCAAAATATATTATATGATGGTAAATATAATTTTGCTTAAAGCCGTCCGATTTTCATCGATAATGCTTAAATTCCATGTGTATAGATCAACTTACACAAGTGTTCATCGTATGGAGTATGCACATATAGTTTTGCATTATCACGGGTTTCATGAGCGCCGAATACTTAGCTATGCAGACTTTAAATGGGCATAAGGAAAGGCGTTTAAAGTGGAGAAGAGAGAATCCTATAATTATACATGAATGCGTTTTATCCAAATATCTTACCTCGCATATCAGAAACTGCATGGACTACTAGTATTCTGTATTAAACACTCAAAAATAATATTGTTTTCTTTTCGATAAGATTTTTATGTCAGGCTCTAAAAACTGAAAATTTACCGTATTTATATCAATTTTTTAACGTAAGTAAACTTTTGGGATTGCTAACTACTAGAGACAGATTTTTTTATCCCATTTAAAACGTATTCCAAGCTTTCAAGTCGTGTTTGTTCACGGTAGAATTGTCATAAATATTATATTATTCCAAAATGCGCATAAAGTTTACAAAAAGTTTGTTCTATAAAAATCTTTTGAGCAAAAAACTTAAAAACCACGTGTTTTATTTATTTTCTCATGGGTTTGTCTAAATGTTGTTATTTGATTGGTCAGAAGGATTAGTGCCTTGTTTATTCTGTGTATTAATAGCAATTTACGGTTATCGTTCTTGACTTCCTTATTTAGAAATCGTCCAGACCTGTTGATTGAACATTATATATGTTTGAGAGGTTGAGCTAACATCGTAAGAATGGATCTAAAATTAGACTGGATGAATAACAATGACATGTCTTAAAAATACGAGATCTCTATTTTCCTTCTTTCTCATCCGTGTGTAAGTAAAGAATAATTTAAATCGATGCATGGCTGACTATTTAACGTGTTCGAACAAAGTGTCCAAGTTAGCACAAAACAAAATGCTACCAATAAGTCAAGTGACAGAATTTAGTATTCACAAAATTACCTGGGGAAAGATATCACGTGGTGAATTATAATATTCAACGTGTCACAGTCTTTGGTTACAACAGAGAGAGCGAATGAGAGGAGAAGCAGTTTTTTTTCTCTCTTTTAAACCATGAGCGCATCTCCTTTTGACACAACATTACATTTGCAAATATACAACTACTGTTAAAAGGAGAACAATAGACAAATGTATAAAGTCAGTAAAAAGTAGGCGTCCTCCTTATCGTATAGAGATGGAAGAAATTGTGGCGACCGCGCCTTAGAAAACAGATTCATTCTTCGCAAATACATACTTTTATTTGTTGAAATTAAGTAAAGTTGTAGGTTAGATGTTGATCATTTGTGCAATTGAAAGAAAAATGTCTGTTTTAAAAGTTTATTTTGACGCAAATTTCGCATATCCTTAAGTAAGGTCATCCTTTGTGCCGAAATAAAGTTTCAAAACAGACATTTTTCTTCAATTGCAGAAATGAGTAACATCTTAACAACTTTACCTAATTACAATAAATAAAAGTACTATGTACGAATCTGTTTTCTAAGGCGGGGGTCATCACAATTTCTTCAATCTCCGTAGGATAATGAGGACGCCCACTTTTTTACTGACTTTATACAAAGTCAGAGCATATTTTTCTATTGTTCTCCTTTTGACAGTAGTTGTATATTTGCATACGTAATGTTATGTTAAAATTAAATTAAATTAATAGACAAACATGCACCCATGGTTAAAAAGAGAAAAAACTGCTTCTTCCTACACTCGCTTTCTCTGTTGTTGCCATCACGTGATATCTTTCCTTGGGTAATTTTGTGAATACTAAATTCCGTCACGTGACTTTTGATAGCATGTTTTGTGTGTTCTTTGGGACACTTTGTTCGAACCCGTTCAATAGTCAGTCATTGATTTAAAATATTCTATGCAGAATAAATAGCAAAATCTCGTATTTTTTAATACATGTCATTGTTATTCATCCAGTCTAATTTTAGATCCATTCTTACGATGTTAGCTCCACCTCTCATACACACATAATGTTCAGTCAAGGGCAAGTAAGTCATTGTATTACCGGTATTTGAATGAGAAGGCGGAGCATCTATCAAGCGTGTGATATGTGTGAATACATCAGTGTGTGTTCGAGATGTACTGAGTTTTGTGAATAACTAACACGTGAAACCCTCTTATTTCGTGCTAGAGTTCGACAAAATATAAGAATAGATTCTTAATTATATTATATGGGAAGTTTTTTTCCCACTAAACTTAAATTCGTTTATCACAATGGAATCTGTAAACAGAGCGTATAACTCAAGATACACTATTTTTCATACCTTAAAGAAATCTTATTTTTTTTAAAAAAAAGTAATTTATCTGTTTAATGTTTATTACATTTACATGCATAATAAGAATTTATTTTAAAGCATAAATACAATTTTAAAATTCGAGTGCTCAAACAGAAACATATAAACATATAAGCGATTGAATTATGATTAAAAAAAACTACAATTTGTGTACAAAAAATAAATCGTTAAGAAAGTGAAAATTAAAAATATCAGTAGCATTGCTGGTGGATAATGAAATATCGGTGTATTTTTTACGGTCGAGATTACATTAATTTAAGGAATCACTGTCTAGTTTTGAGAGTATGCCAGGGCATCAACAATAGTGGGAAACATGGGATAATTTGCATAACGGGCGAAGCCCGTTATGCTAAAATTATCCCATGTTTCCCACTATTGTTGATGTCCCTGGCACACTCTCAAAACTAGACAGTGATTCCTTATATTTCCATTTCATTGTGAAATAAAATTGTAGACTTAGACATTAAGAATGTAGACTAATCGATTTAAATTACACGAGGACTTCCATGCCAATTTCAATAGTCCTCGCACACTGACGTCAAACACAAAGGCAGCCGCACGAGATTTACATGCATATTTGGCTTCCTTAGCGTCAGACACAGAGACAGATGCGCACGAGATTTGCATGCGTATTAGGCCTCCTTAGCTGCTGACCTATCGACCTGCCTAATTTACATTCCGGCAGAATTATCAGGAAATCAACTCCGCCTCCTTTCAACGGGTTATTATAGAGAACAAATTTAGAAATGGAAATATATTGCTTTGAACTAAAATCTGTTTAATCTTGCTAGACAAGTTAATATGACCTTCATATATGAATTCAATAATTGTTAAAATTTACTCGTGTACTTTTTTATTTTAACCAACTCTCTCTCTCCGTAATAATCTTGCTTTTAAACATCATGCTTTAAAAAGACCTGCGAACATGGAATTTTTTACATGATCTGAAAAAAATGAGTTTTTGTGCTGATGTAAAGTTTTGCATATGTGGCGCTTTTTAGAGTTCCGTATTTCAATTTCTTCCCCTTCATGTTTCTCAGCTGGAAGTATGCATGTGTGCACATGTAACAAACAGTTTATTTTCTAAGATATGATGAATTAGTTGTTCTTTTCAAATGACGATCTATGAAATTAATGAAAATTTTAACTGAAATAAAAAAATATTTCTATCTTTCAAGAGTCAATAAACATAGCTCCGATGTATTTTTAGGAACAAAGGCATTTAGTGATATACACCGAAATAAATCAAACAAAATCGACTGAAAGAGCAATTAATAACTATTCAAAAATTTTAACATGTATTTAATTAAGAATTTCACCCAGAATTTTCCATTAGCCATCTGAAAATGATTTACCAGCGATAGCTTTAAATTGAAATTTAAATCAATAAACTACAATGTAAAATCTTTAATTATTTTTTTTGTAAATTATCGAGGGGCCAGATTTGGACGTTTAAACGATTCATTCTTTTCTGTATTTGAAAAACCATAAGGACAAAAAATATGAATAATTAACTGTTGTTTTACAGACCAACATTATTTTTAACATTTAAATTAGGTGTCCAATTGACATATTTTTGTAGTTGATACATAAAAGTGAAATTAAGTAAGATTTAAAAGCATCATAAATGATCGAAAAAGACACCAAACACCAGACCTGGGGTCAATTACTTTGAAATGTAATGCATTACATTACAATTACTTTGGAATTTTTATCATTACAATTACAATTACCATTACTCTCATTTAGAAAAGTAATTAACTAAATTACTAGTACTTTGTTGAAGTAATTAATTACATTACACATTACATTTTATAAGAGAAAAACACAAAACGTATCACCACACAATTTATACCTATAAATTAACTATCACACTTTTTGCTCAATAACATGCTTTCCCTCAGATCTATAAATCAGAGTGGTATTTGGATTTTGGATTCATGTATCATATTTATGTAGTTTACCAATCCAATCTACAGTTGACAAAGAAAGTGGATCAGAACACTTTCAATGTTGTAGTTATGTTCAGTACTGATGTTAGTTTCTCTGTTGTTTTTGTTTTTTAAATAAATGATTTATTGAACATTTCCTACTTGATGTTTTATTAAAACTAATATTTAATTAACAGATAATGCTATAAATGTATAAGGAGTATTAAAAACTAAATGAATTAATTAGCACTTCTAATTAGCTTAACGGGTATGATCAATGAAGCCATAAACTAAACACAACCAAAGGTGATAATTACAAGTACTTGGATGTAGGGTTTAAATTTTGAGGGCTTAAGCTACCAAAAAATGAATGATGGTCAATATATCAGTCTATATTTATACTTGGCCTTAGTTTCTCTTTGTGTCTACAATAAATCATACTGATCTTGTATCATGTTTACCAGGTCCATTTTACCAGATTGAAAAGGGAAAAAAAGTAGAAAAATATAACTTGTATCTTAATTAATTTAACTGCAAGTCTCACTATATCTGTATTAATATCACTTTTTTGTATCTTTCTTTAAAACCTGATGATTTCTTTTAATATTTTTCTTTGGTTCTCTTCAATTGATTTTACAATTGTCTTACTTGTCAAGAAGATTTCTATTAAAAGAATTATTTAGTTAAAGTTTGTCTTTAAATTACAATTTAATAATATAAAAAATATTGTAGGATATAGGATTTTAATTTTAAGACTATAACATTATTAATAAAAAAAAATAACTTCTCAGTGATATTTGTTTGTTTCAGATTCAAAAATAAAAAGAGACTAATATATAAAATGTAATTGAAATGTAATTGAAAAGTAATTGGTCATTACAGACTTTTTTTAAAGTAATGCATTACATTACAATTACTTGTAATTGAAAGATGGATCCATTACACATTACACCCCATTACTTTGAAAAAATGTAATGATTACAATGCATTACCATTACACATTACCATTACCCCAGGTCTGCCAAACACAGCGTTAAAAGCAGTCATCCTTCAATCCAATTTTAAGGTCGTAATGTCGGTGTCTTACCCGTTCCCTTTTCATAAAAATCCTCAACACCAAGCTTTCCATCTGCTCCGTTCATGCCCTCTGTCAGGTTGATTTTTAGGGAGTATGTTCTGATTACTGTGTTATTTTGGTTCTGGCAGTCTTTGACGTCTATTTTGATATTGCACCAATCTTCACACGGTCTGTTCTGAATTTGGTCGCATTTTATGTTCTTAAACTTTACCGTTATGTCTGATTTCAATGATCTGGGTATAATCCAGTCTAGAGTGTTTCAAGAAATAAATATCTATCAATAATTCATATTGCTAATAAACTAATGGTGATTATAATTACTGTATTAATATCAAAGAGAAATTAAATCGACCTTAAATAACTATCTTTAGCTTTTAAAATAAAGTAGGACAAAAAGTAAATACTTTTTATAATATTCAATATAAATTCATCATACGAGGGACGTTCAATAAATAATGTCATCGGGGCTCGGAAAGAAGCAAAAGACGCTTTTTAATGATTTAGTCTTCATGATTTTACTAATTAATTTCTTTTGATTAAAATACCCCCTGGTAGATGTCCGTTAAAGTTTTTATTTAATTTCTGATTCTATTTAGAACACATTTTGGGTATGACCCTTAGTATACTGGAAAATAGCAGATCCAATGATTTCCTGGACTTGTTTTTTTTCTCTTTCTGAAAGGTGGTTTTTCAAGTTTGGAAATAGAAACAAGTCAAAAGGTAAAAGATCTAGCGAATATTGATAATGTGAAAAAATATTAACTTTCTTTTTATCCCGAAAACCCATTTACTCTTCAGGGGTGCAGGGTTTGGACGCTGTCATGAAGAAATCTAATGTAGTGGATTCCTGATTCTAGGTCATTCCTCTAATAAACCTTTCGATTTTTTTGCAAAAAGATTGCTTTCTAGACTCCTACAAAAATTAAACTGTCTCCCCGAATACGAAATTGAACAACAGTACCACTAATATCTAAGAAAATTGCATATAAATCTGTCTTTGTGTTTTTGCATACCTTTGCTCTTGTCGGACCATTGCTGTTTTATCAAGTACATTTTATGGTAAATTTTTATTGAGTGTTTTAAGCAATAGATTCATGTTCCATTATCTGTTTGAATATGAAACAAACTTGGATAACTACAATTACTGATATTTTAAAATAATTGTTAAGACATTCCTACACGCTGTCGTTTTCACTCATTTTTCAAAATATAGGGTGATCTTTGAGTACCAAGCTTTTTTACCGTCAAACGTTTCTTTAAAACATTGTAAACTACTCCCGATATGATGTATATCAAATTTGTTATGTGTCTAAAAGTCAGTCATACATCATCAGATATTATTTGTTGAAATTGGGCAAATAGTACATAAGTTGTTATAATTTTTGTTGGCAAGGACGGTACCCATTTTTGATGCCCATTATATAATTTTTAATCATTGAAATCCACTTGCTTATTTGTCTATAAAACAGACATTGGTTGATGTAAATGTCACATATTTCAGTGAAAATTTCGTTGGGATTTTAACACGTTTTACAGCAGCTTTAATGAAGCTTTTATTTTCACTCTAGTTTACTGATTCTTTACCATTCATTTATAATGCAGTGTCTCGATTAGCCCCTGTTTCCCAGCTTCTCACGATGAAACTATGCTATGAAAAGTGGTCACATAAACTGTTATCAATTCATTGTATATTGTTTGTTGGTTTGATCCAGAGATAAATTCATAAAGACTTTTTTGTAGAAAATCTTGTGTATGGCTTAATATTTTCAGAAAATATTTATGTGAATCTATAATTGGAAACATTAAATTACCTGTCTGTGCACAAATTGGAGCCTGGTTATCTGTGATTGGATGTTTGCTTGTCAACAAAACCCATTTATGACTTGTTGATGCCCCACACATGTAGGTAGAATGTTGACGAAATTCGTCAACTCGAACTCGCCCGGATTTGCATGCGACCTTGCAAATTTCATCTGTGTAATCTTTGTTGCAGGTTATCACAGTCTCTTCTTGATGATAAAACTCGGGACAAACTTGTAAAATATGAAACATTTATTTAGTTAATTATGTATTGAAAAAAAACATGTGTGTAAATTATAATACATGTACAAAGTACTGTGTTGACGTTTTAAATATTCGCGCCCTGCAATTTTCTTTGTCAATTGCTTTTAACAAGATACAATTTTTGCTTCCCTAGAATATACTATTTAATTTTAAGTCAGAACCATTTTTTATTGCTAGTTTTAAAAGGTGAGAGTTATCAACAGTGTTCAATCTAATTAATCCATGAATCAAAACGAATCCTGAAAGTGGCAAGAAGACAATTAAATGCCTGGAAATACCAGAGGTCGAATCAACTACCTGTTGGGAGAAAATAACCCCTATTGACTGGTCACACTCATCGTTAGCCAACGGCAAAAAATATATGTGAAGGGAACTATAGCTGACTTGGGGCTAAATTTAGAAAACATTCCGTAATAAAATCAATGGAATGCCTTTTACCGTTATGGTGGTTATTCGTGCAAAAAAGGGATCTGATAAATTCTAGACAGTAAAGCAACAATCATTTTATATTATTTATATTTATATCCTTTGTTTTAATCCTTGTTTAGTTTTATTTTAAAAAAATGATCTTTTCAAATATGTGTTTTTTTCTCACAAATGCACGTAAGTTTAAAAAAACAGCAGAATACACCTCACCTTTCTTGGTTTCTTTTTCACAAAAGAGCCCCTCAAAGCCTTTTCTGCAGATACATACAAATGAATTGTTTCCGATATCATTACATTGACCCTGGTTTTTACACAGGCCTGATACACAGATACTTGGAGGTATCTCACACTGTTCCCCACTGAATCCTGATGAACATTTACATTCTGGTGATGAGCAGTTTCTTGATGCCCTACATGTTCTGTCGCCGTCTTAATGCACCATAAAGCACCAAGCAGATAATTATGAGATTAATATTTCAGTTCATATTATTAATGAGCTGTTGAATTAGTCAGGTATTCAATATATTATTTAAAAATAATGAAAAGCAATAGGATTTTGCTTGAAATGGAAACTATTCATTTAATTAACTGAACGTATATGCATGTACATGTATGTATGTTGAGACAATTTTTCTTCATTGATTATATGTATGAATTGAAGAATCAAGTTCTTTTTTTTTTTAAACTAAAAGTAATTTGATAGATATATCAACTGTAAATAAAATGGCACATCATAACATGATAATGTGTAAATCATGTTTTTAAAATGAAGTTTACATACCATTTATACGCAATACATTGAATGTAGGCGTAGAAAAGTGAACATCTTTAAAATTTTCGATTTCTTCTGGCCACAGCGAGTTCATTATATTCCCGGAAACTTTGTTGATTATTTGGAAACCGCAAAGTTCTAATCCTGTAATGAGATATCCAGGAAAGAAAGAGATAATATCATTTACGGTGATGAAAACAATGAACAGGAATTTAAAAGGTCTAAATTTAAATGATCCTTGTTTGCCCTTCGCCGACAAATATACAAAATAAGCTCTATTCAAAATAATTTATTCCGTTCATTATTATAATTCCTTTATTTAATTTGTTTAATGCTTATTGTAATAAAAATATTTTTTCTAAAGAAAAAACTCTTTTGAGGTAAATCCAGTTATCAAATGTTACTTAAGAGGATAATGTGTTCCAGGGATTGAAACAAAATAATAAATTCCACTGTTGACTGATTTGTAAATATATTGGTCAAGAAAAAAAAGATAGTTATGTGTGGTTCTGTGATGATAGTAATGAATAATAGTGATATTGAGAAAATAACATTTTGCATGGTGATTTATTTGAAAGTCTAAATAAAATAATTTTTCTGCCTTCCCATCCATTGTTTAAAGCCAGGGTAAACAAACTTTTATAAAAATTTTTTGCCAAATATTGATAATAAAATGTCAAGTACAAATGCTTCTTATGACATTATAATGATTTTAAAGTAAGAGATCCTACATGTTTTGATTTACAAAAGTAAGTCTAGAACATTACCCTCCTGATCTTTAGGAAATTCAGCAGTGAAGTATTTCCCAAACACAGCATAAAATTCATCCCTCAATGATGATGGTCCGTTCATGTCATAACTGCGAAATTTACTTCCAACAGTTTGATTAATGTTGAGAATCCAAGAAGTACCATTGCCTCTGAACAGCATTCTCAAATTGTTCCATACTCCAACAACATTTTCTGTGATGTCCAGTGTTTTACTATGACAAAAGAATTATTTATTACTTTCCATATTCCGAATAAAGCGATAAAAAAAATTAAATAAAACATTTAACACCATGCCTTTAAATCGTTTTAAACCTTAATAACAAACTTGGGGAAATTTGTGAATATTTTTGACTTTTTTTTTTATCTAACAGTGCTTCCAAAATCTTATTTGATCCTTTAATCTTACCTAGTAGATAGCACCATTTCCTACTGTTTATTGCTTAAAGCTTGTTTCAATAAGCAGCCCTATTTGAGAATGTTATTTTTAGTGGTACTAGTATTTTATTCCTAATTTGTCAGTAGGATTAAATTTAAAGCAATCCAAAGGCCTGTGATTTACGAATTTTACTCACTTTTGAAAAGTAATATGTAAATTGAAATTTTTGCGTTGCGGGTCATAAAAGGATAAAGATATGTTTAGAATTCTTTCAGTTGTGAATTCTTTCTCTCCTCGAATTAGCAGAATACTGTTCCCTTGCGTTGTCATAACACGAAAACTAAGTGACAGAATAAGAGTTGTGTGAGGTTCTCCTTTGGCGGGAAGAAGAATATAACTGTTTCTGCTTCGCATCTTAACAAGATAACCTGCAACGAAAAAGAAATGAAAACGTCAGGTTGTGTAAAAGACTTTATCATAAGGATGCTTTGTAGCAAATTCGGTTGAAATTGTTCTAGTGGTTCTACATAAGAGGAAATTCTTTTACAATTTAAGAAAATAACAACAATTATAACGAGGACAGACATGTTCATAAAAAGGAAAAAGTTTGATTAGAAAAGCTCAGTTAGGCCGTTGGTTCAAGCGAGTAAAAATTTTGGAAAATAAATAAGTATCATTAGAAGAAACAACAATAAATTTAGTTTACAATTGTACAAAACATTTGAAAGTTAAATTCGGTTTGTTTTATACGGCACAGTTTTATTTTTTTTTTGGGGGGGGGGCATCTATCACGACCACCAGTCCTTAAGGGCCTTAACATTGCAAGTTGTTTTAAATCGTTTTACATGCTCAACATGAATCATGGAATTGGACTGCTATGGACGCATTTTAAAATAATTGCATTTTATCTCATATACCGTATAAGTGGAAATTTTAGCGAGACGCAAATTAGCGATTTGTCCTTAAAAACTGGTAATTTATTTTTAGCGAGATATTATTTTAGCAATTTTAAAATGCACATTAAAGAAGCAATTACAAATAAAACGCAATTAATTTTTAGCGATATTCAATTTTAGCTAATAATGCCAAAATTAAATCCTCGCTAATTATTCTACTTAATATACTAGTACAAGTAGTCTTTTTTTCGAAAACATAATGAAAAGGACTACCTTTATGAGAAGACATATATGATATTCTACTGTTTCGTTATGAAGAATTATCTAATATTTTCGCTCTCAATTCAAACCTTTCTTTAAAAGTACTTCTACACAATGTTTGCATATGAAAAGCATCTGTATTTAAATTGCATTTTATTAAGTTTGCTGAAAGCCCCCCGCAAAGGATTTCCTTATATTTCAAGCCATAATAAACTTTCTCATTTTTAACGGATATAAATAATCGAGTATTAAAGTTTCAGGAATGTCTTTAAACATTTTGATATGTATTACCTGAACAAGAAACAGTCTTCATTCTCATCACGTCCCACATTTCATTGGGTAGACCCTGGGAAGGACAGTGGAGTTCAACTAGCCCGTCATCGTTACAATTAACAGAGCAAACCAGACGTCGAAAAACATCATAGCAACTGTTAATAGATCGATCACAAATATTTTTGATCACTGTTTCAAGGCATGTCAACTCTGGAATAAAAATTAAACAAAAAATTGATAATTTATGCTAAATTCTATTTTTTTTCTTTGGTTACTATGGGTCTAGAAACCTTGTCTAGTCCAATCTGTGACAAGAAAGTCGGTCAAATATAAAATCAGATAGGTACACATGCGTTTCACAATCCTTTTTTTTTTAAACATATGATATTATTTCATTCATTCTACAACTTAGGGAAGCAATTGTTATTAAATACGTTTGAATATAGAAATCTCAAATGCAAAAAACAAGGGATCTGCATGTGGGCTACATCTTTAAATTTCTTAAATTGCAAAACTGTAATGTTATTATGAGTTTGCTGTTCTTGAGGGATTTTTTTTTCAAATTTCCATTATATTTCAGTGGAAAAGCCTTTGGTTCAGTTGAGCTGAAGATATAAAAAAAAAAATAACAGAAGATAAAGCAGAAAACTTTTTAAAGCCAAATCATAGGTCTGTAGTCTCAGCACTGGGGAAAAAGATGTATATATACATGTTAGTCATGTATGAGAAGTATTTCAACGTCACATAAGACAGGAGGTAATTGTGTTTTACACAATGATGTGACGTGCAAATCCAAATTTAAATTTTGAATCGCACAAGAACTTTATAAAAATATGTCAAGGTATATATTGAGCAAATCTTCAATGATTTTGGATGAACGGGTACTCGTGGAAAGGGGTGTCAAAATTTGAATTAAGCTTTTTAGAATCTTATTGCAAGTGCTTTTAAAGTCAATCTTAAATATATTATCATGGTTTTTTTTGTTGCAACACGAAGTTCGAGACTTCTTCCTTAGCATTTACAAAGATGTTCATTGGGGAATATTATATCCATGAAGTGGGTATACCAAGGAAACAAAATTCATGACAGTACGATCAAATGAAAATACATGTACAGTACAACACAATGAATATTTTAGTTATCAAAATGACATCAAGAAGTTAAACCATCATGTTACCATGGCAAGCAAAATACCTTTAAACAATCATAATGCTGTCGATTGATTCTTCTTTAGATGTTACATTATGTATATGTGTGTTTTTGATCTTTCAAATAATTGTTTGAGACTAAAAATCTATTTTTTTTTTTAAATTCCAATAATCTTTTTTCAAATTTTTCTTAGTTTCATTTAATCATAATTAGAGTTTATTTCTATTTTTCATTGGCCACATCGAGAAATCAAATTATCTTAATGTTTCAACATCCACGGTCTCCAGATAGTCATCGACTCATATTAAAAGGATAGGCCTACTTATGCAGATAATATCAATAATCATGTGTGCAAGAAAAGTTTAAATGCTTGCAGAAAATATCTGTTAATACTTCAAAGGTAAGACATATTGCATTCCTTTATTCATATCAATCAGATCTAGCAGTTGAATACGCCTTTTAAAACATTACTCGATTGTGGGACTTACTTTCAACAGTGACTCCAAACGTACAGTGTTCTGTATTACCAGAGTAATCCGATACGTAGTAATAAACAGTGGAATTTCCTACTGGAAACCTTCCACTGGACACATTTCCTGTTGAGCTATTCATTGATCCAATATTATCATTGTCCACGACTGTAATAGGATCCCAGGTGACGGTTGTCCTAATTGATCTGGAGTCTGCGATAGCAATTACTTTTGTTGGACATTTTACAATAATGGGTCGACAAACATCTGAAAAAAAAATACTGCTTCTTATTTTCACTAAGGGAAGAAATACCTTCTTTTTTTGAAATTTCATTATTACCTTTGCATTTTACATTCGTCAGCGTGGGAGACCAATGCATTGTTCCCTGATATTCACAGGAAACTGGTAGCAACACATTGGGTCTGAAGTCTTTGAAGCATTTCAACAAGCACATTGAACCTTCTCCATAGTTGTCTGTACAAGAAAATTGTCCATTTACTGGAGAAGGTAATTCAATACAGCGACCTATGAAATAGAATTAGCTAATGATATATGCTTTATACAATAATAATAAATATAATATGTAGTTGAAATATCAATTCATTAATGTGCTTCTTTCTAGATACATCTGGCACCTGGCATCTATGGCTCCTGATCCCACCTCCATGTTTGTTCTTCTCCTATTTTGTATTGTTTTATGGACTTTTCAGTTTGAATACTGTTCATTATCTCCATATAATTGAGTGCATTGTATACTTAGAGAGACCACAGACAGAAAACAAGTATTTTGATATAGCATTCAAAATAAGTGTCGAATTTAGTAGAGGTGTAGCAATGTAATACAGATGAAGTAGATATAACTTTTAGAAAAAGATTTGACGAAAAGGGGATGCCAAAATCTATTTTTTTCCTTTCTTGCAGTCAAAAAATAATTGTTAAAAAATTATTTAATGTATAGATTTGGTTTCTTTTTATATATATTTACTGAAATGTCTGGATACAACAGGATACATTCTAACCCTAGTATTTAGAACACAATAAATTTACAATACTTTAATAAAACGATATTCATTTGAATGTCATAGGTTATGATGTCGGTAATTGATATCTCACTTGTAAGTTGAAAAAATTTGCAAAACAAATTTAATATTGGAAAACAAATTTTAATTTTATATCATTCGTACTTCTTACGGCAAATATAATCGAACAGTCTTCTCTTCCAAAGGAATTGATTGCTCTATAAAGGATTTGATGTTGTCCTTGTCCAAATTCTGTTCCATTTGCTGGTCCCAAAATGCGTTGTACCCTAGTAATAACGTAACAAATACGCACTGAATTGTTCAACATTTTGTCATATATAATAGTTATTTTATAAAAAGTTTTCGGTTGATCAAAAGGAGGCCTTCTTATCTAATATTGATAAATCTGAAATCTATTATTTTCTGAAGCCCCCCCCCCAAAAAAAAACAATTGTGTGCAAAAACATACTGCAAATTTGTGCCATCCCCGTTGATCGCTACCACTCTTGGCCAAGTGACTTTTATTTTTGATAAATGTGTTTCCACATAGAAAATCCCTAAGTATCCCGGACACTCCGTGAAGAAAGGTTTTGATGATTCAGTGTGGGGCTTTAATTCTGTATTTAAAAAAAGACCAATGAATATATATATATATATATATATATATATATATATATATATATATATATATATATATATATATATATATATATATATATATATATATATATATATATATATATATATATATATATATATATATATATATATATATATATATATATATATATATATATATAAATAATTCGAGATTTCATTTCTTCATTTTTTCTCTTTGTTTCCAAATTTACATTTTCCCTTACCGTTAGAACAAAAAGTGGTAAAGTTTAAATCTTGTGAGCACGCTGATATGTTGAAAGGTGCTGGATTCTCGCACACTTTTTCCATCAATGATAATTCCAAACATTTCTGCTCCTCTACAAACGAAACGAAGAAGAGAACAGGGATAGTTTTAGATAAAATTTATCTCAGATAAGTGCACATAAAAAACATCAAGTATGTATTTAATAAATTTTTTGTTGCGAAATTTGGGCACGGTGGTTTATTCAGAGACACAAATTATGAAAAGCTATTGGTGTCTCTGGCAACACAACAAAGCAAATATTACATATTAAATATTCAATTCAGGTTCAAAGTTCACAAACACCATATCAGAAAGTGGTAAAAGCCTTGACCCTGGGAGGTGCAGAGGTCAAGCACTTATTTATGTATATCTAAATCCAAAGTTTACTTTTCAACTTTCATGCCTCGACTGTTTTAAATTAATAATACACAATAACAAGCTGGAAAATTTTTACCGACCCAAGATGCTGCTGGAATATTGAAAAAGGAAGTTGCAACCAAAGCGCCCTCATGTGTTTTTATTAAAAGGGGGAATAATCAACTAAAATATTTGACAAAAACGATAATCACTAGGAATAAGTACTGCGATTTAGGTAAGGCATTTAAATCTACACTTCCTTCGATAAAAGCAGCTAATGCAGAGTGAATTAGCTTTGAATAATATGAATCAAAGTACTGAAAGCACTCAAGGGAGTTGAACAGTAAGGGAGGTGTAAAATAACATCTTTGTTCAGGAGGTTAAGTGAGTGAACAAAATTATTATTTCAAATACAGACAACTGTTTCAGATTTTTGAGTTGTAACTATCTTGAGAAAGACATTCAGAGACATTGAATAGCAAAAATTACATGGGCCATATAATGCTTGCCTGCCTGTAGACATAAGTTTTTTTATACCCCCTGCTTGAAAAGCGGGAGGGTATTCATTAATCGGGATTTCCGTCCATCTATTTGTTACGCTTTAGATATACCCATCTCTTATCCGCAACTCCTCTTACACCACTTCAACGAAAAAACGAGAGCGCTTTTGATTGACATTCGGCAGGAATCTGGGCGTTATTGAAAAGTGAAAATTTTATCGACATGTCACATAAAATTTTAACATTTTTTAATTTATCGGTTTCCTGTGCATTAGGAAAGGAAAATATTTTCCCGAAATGGGCTTTGATTTGCTAAAAAATAACTTGAAAATTGGCCAGATCAGACATTTGGTACAAAATGGTACATTTTTAAACACGTTTTTCTAAAATTTTTCTATCTCTGGGTCTTCTCTCCATGATTTTGAAACATTTTTTCGTGTATTTTAATTCAAAGAAACGAATACACTTTTTTAAAAAATGGAGAGAAGACCCAGAGACCACGAAAAATAAACTTTCCCCCCAAAATCCAAATGTGTGAATGTGGTGTTTCTTTGTCCATTTAAAATCATCTACATATGTGTTGCAGTAATAGCTCAGTAAGTTGGGCTACCTGTTCAGTGCATTCGATGCGAAAAGTTTTTTGGTTCGAGCCTGGTATGGGGGGTTATTTTTTTTTCAGTGCAAACAACCATTTATTTTGTCAGTTTCTTTTTATGTACTGATGCACTAAAATTTTGAATTAGATCAATTTTGGTTCAGTTTGTTTCTTGAGCGAAATCAATTCTAATCTTCTATTCTATAATGTACGTACATGAACACGTATCATGCATCTATGCATTAAATATTTTGGGTGTTTATTTTTTGAAACATTACTATGTTACAGTACTCCCTAGGAAAAACGGACACTAATGTTACAGTTTTACAATGTCTTTCAAACTATATGAAAAAAAAAAATCTATGGACGTGTTTGTAAAATCTGACCAGCTATGTTCAGCCAACCAAATCATGGACAATTAAACCATAAATGTTTCGTACAAATGATTCCTGCAGATCACTCGCCAAATGCGCCCATCTTCTTTCATAGAATCTTTATTACATATTGCCGTTGTGCACCTTCTATTACTTTTTCATCCTACACATATTTTGGGTTTCCAATCGCAAAACATGGACACTGCCATTATATTCACATCAGAGGCGGTTGATCATTTATATAATTCACTGCTCACAGTCTTCAAATTTGTAATATATTTTTCCTTGGCACCTTTACCCATGTGTTATGAAAATTTCAGTTTCGCAGGAATAATATCAATGTTGATAAAATGTGGATTTTCACACAGCATCCTTTTAAGAGCTAACAGGTTTGTAATATAAAACTTCTCTGTGAATATAAATGTATTTCAATTACACGAACATTATGCATGGAGTATGTCAGAACTTATTAATCTTTTTTAATATTGTGAAGAAAAAAGCAATACCAAGTTAAAAACAAATATTTAATGACCAAACATAAAAACAGTGGTATATATGAGAGTTTGTGTGCGTACAAATTATCAGGTATGTAAATGAGGTTTTCCCTTTATTAAAAAAAATTCTTTATTTTGTTGTTTTTAATCGCGATTTTACGAAAACATCGGTGTCCGTTTTTGTTAATTTTAACATTTATAGCAGAGCGCTAGATTTACCGCTTTTGGCAAGGTGATACTTCTGATTTAGTAATAAACACGCATGTTTCCTAAAGTTTTTATGCATTAATGAATTCATTTAAACCAAGAAAATGTTCATGAAAAGTTTGAATAAATTATGTGCACCGGTAAAACAGAAATTGCTGAAAATCCGGGACCGTCGGGCGTCGGCAAGACTAGATTTACTGCTTGCCGTCAGTATGTAGAGTTGTCGTTTGTATCTCTTTCAGTGTATGACGTTACACTAAAAATGAGTTCCATTACAAAAAACCTTTGAGGTTCTTTATAATTTAGTTTTACATTGAACGAAATCTAAAATTCAAAATGAGATTACTTTAAATATCATTACATTTACTTACATTTCAAATTATGAAAATTAGATCAATTCAGGAGAAAATGACATGAACTATTTGTGGCGGATGTTTATGCATGGGTCCTCTAATAAACCTTTCGTTTTTTTTTTGCAAAAAAATTGCTTTCTAACCTCTCCAGAAATTAAACTGTCACCCCGAATACGAATTTGAATAACAATACCACTAATATTTAAGAAAATTGCATATAAATCTGTCTTTGTGCTCTTGCATTTCTTTGCTCTTGTCAGACCTTCACTGTTTTTATCAAGTACATCTTTGGTAAATTTTGTTTTGAGGGTTTTAAGTTATAGATTGAAGTTCCATTATCTATCTGTTTGAATATCAAACAAACGTGGATAACTACAATTACTGATATTTTAAAATAATTGTAAAGACATTCGTACACGCTGTCTTTTTAACTCATTTTTCAAAATACAGGGTGACCTTTTTTACTGTTGTTTCTTAAAAACAGTGTAAAATACTCCCGAAATGATGTCTATCAAATGCTATGTGTCTTAAAGTCAATCATACATCATCAAATATTATTTGTTGATATTTGACAAACAGTACATAAGTACATATATTTTTTGTTGGCAAGGCCGGTACCCATCTTATAAATTCATTTAAAGATTAAATAATGAGAAAAAGTCAAGCTTAATGTCATATGATATCTGTATTGTATAGCATACAGTTCAGGACATAATTTTTTTAACAGCCCTCGTATACTTTCTAATTTACTTATTGATCAGACACATATTTTTGGTTTCCCCTAGCAAAACATGGACATGATAATTCTTTCTATACCCATCTCTTATCCCCAATTCCTCCTATACCATTGAATAATATTAATGATACATTCATAGATTCTTTATTACATAATGCCATTATGCACCTTCTATTTAACTTTTTCATCCAACATTTATTTCGGGTCTCCGAGAGCAAAATACGGACCTTGCCATTAAAACGGTATGGGAGGCGGGGTCTCAACAATCCACGGATACAATATTGAATACAAATAAGAATTTTTTCAATACAAAAAAAATTATACAATTCAAATGGAAAATATATAATGCAACTAAAACAAGTTACAATTCAAATGAATTTTTACAAAAAAAAATATGAAAACTATATAGAATACAAATGGAAAATTTTAGGATACAAATGGGAAATTATAGAATACAAATAGAATTAAATTATACAATACAAAGGAAAAATTATACAATACAAATGGATTTTTTTAATGCAAATGGAAAATTATATAAAATACGAATAAGAATTTTACAATACAAATGGAAAAGATGAATATTGCAACGTCTGAAATGCCTTAGAGAATACATTGTGTAGTAAAACTGGGCCAAGCACTCAGTTATTTACATAGATTTAAACTGCGCTATAGTTGCAATTGCTCTCCAATGATCAAGGGCAAATCGTATTTCGGAATACCTGTCATTTAAAGTGATTTTTCTATTACTAAGTGCATACAATTAAACCGAAAGTTTGAAATTAGGAGTAGAAATTCATAAAATGGAAAAAGCTGAGACTGAAATTCTTACCAGAGACTCCAGCTTTAATCTAAAATAATTGCAAAAAATTGTTGATATGAAACTCATTCCAATATACATTTAAAAAAATTAAGACCAGCTTTAATATATGTCATAGAACTTTTGTACAGCAGTTATGCTGCAAATACATGAACATGCAATGTGAATAGAAAAATAAAGGTATAAATAAATGTATTTATAAAGGAGAAAAACAACATAAAATTAAGCAATTAGATTTTGTATCAAAATAGAATTATTTTTGCACGTGTGAATTGTCTGTGCATGTGTGTGTAACCAAAGGTTTCACACAGAAATCGAAGCCTTTTGTAATGCACACATAGACCTGTATTTGAAGCATTATATTTCAAAGACATGCTTCAAATATACAGTATAATTTGTCCAATCCGGCTACCGCCGGTTCCATAAAATAGAATCCGGAGTGCAGGAAAAATGCAGGAAAATATTACTTTTAAAAAATTAGTTGTTTATTTACAAGTACTTCATACACATAATATAAAATATAATTAAATGATGAAATCAATAGAAATTATTAAATAGTCTCTCATGACTTAATGTATTTTCTTGTTAGTTCACGAAGTTTGAAAGTCGGGTGAAATGTTACCTAAATCAAAATCTACAGGCACGCATAATATAGGCCTACTATATATCAAGCGGACCGGGTTTCACTTATAAAAGAGTTCATTCAATGTATAAACAGTAATGCACAATTATTTACGATGTGCTAATTATTGGAATGAACTTTTAATTTTTATGTAAAATAAATTACGTCTTCCCCCACAGTATTATGGCGCCATTTTGAAATGCGTTCGATTTTCGATCCCGATTATTATTTTGGTTTGTAAATCGCGTATATATATATTTTTGTGTTTATGTTATAATGTGGTAAATGGAGTCAAAACAAAGTTGTTTTTTTTAAATTGTAATTTAATCATATAATATTTTTTCAAGCGGGCTCTGTCACCGCCGCATTTCACTGAGTTCGTCTCATGGCACTAATGCTAGTGTAAACACGGATTATCACATCCACCACGAAAGGTGTTAATTGCTTTGAAGTAACTCAGGTAATTATGTGTGGCCGGGTTAGAGGAATGATTACCGTTAATTATGAGCAGTTGGGGACCAGTATGGCCGTTCGGAATACGGAATAGACAGTATCCGGACTACACAGAATTTTTTCTAATGAATTTGTTAAAGAAGTGCATGGGACTAAAATTTATAGACGGAATGGGCAAAAATCCGGAGTACTCAGAGTCCGGATTAGACAAATTTTACTGTATATCAATAAAAAATAAAGCAATATCTAATGCAATTTTCAAAACGTTCCCAGATGATAGTTAAAAAAACGAAATATTAAATTTTAACATACCGTTTGCAAATATATCGATAAGATTGCAATTAACCTTCTCATGGTAAACATGGTTTCGATCAAATAGTCAGGCTAATTCGCGCAAGTGTTTGACCTCTTTTTTAGAATTCGAGGAGGGACTGTAAATTCGATATTTTGAAAGATTGTGCATTGCCTGTGTAGAACAAAACAATTGCAAGACTGCACCGCATATTTAAGGTCGGACAAAAGATTACTTGAACAAAAGTTATTATGCATAATAATTATAACCCACGCAACAAGTTTCGGGAGGTATAATGTTTTTGACCCGTGTTTCTGTCGTCATTTTTTTTTTGTCAGCGCAACTCCTCCTAAACCGGTGCATAGAATTTCGTCAAACTTTGCAAATATTTAGGACACAATATGTAGATGTGCAAATTACCACGAAATTCCGATTCCTTTATTTTTCTGGGAATTTCGGCACTTTTCAACTTAGATTTTTGGCCATACCTTGAATATATCATGAACAGTTTGTCACCTCAACTCCTCTTAAACTGTTGCAAAGAATTTCGTCAAACTTTGCAGACATTTAGAACACAATGTGTAGAAGTGCAGATTACCAGAAGATCCGATTCCTTTTAATTTTCAAGGTATTTCGGCACTTCGAGTTTTGGGGAGCATGGGGTATGTGAGCTTGCTCACTTTTTCTTTTATATTTTTCTATGATAATACTGATAGATTTTAAAACCAATTCTAAATACAAACAGACCCCTCAAAGTATCAAAATAATTTATTGGGTTAGTATGCCTTTAAATACCACATCTGAAAAGCGGGAGGGTATATAGAAATCGGTATGTCCGTCTGTCTGTTACGCTTTGGGGTACCCATCTCTTATCCGCAACTCCTCTCATACCACTGAATGAGATTTGATGAAACTATACCCCCCACTTGAAAAGCGGGAGGGTATATAGTAATCGGTATGTCCGTCCGTCCGTCTGTTACGCTTTTGGGTACCCATCTCTTATCCGCAACTCCTCTCATACCACTGAATGAAATTTGATGAAACTTTCACGGAATCGTTATTACATATTGCCATTGTGCACCTCCTATTTTACTTTTTGACCCGACACATATTTTGGGTTTTTCCATAGAAAACATGGACACTGCCATTATATTCATATGGGAGGCGGGGGTATAATAAAGTGAGCTCATTGCTCACAGTACCTCTAGTTTTTTTTTATCCCCCCCCCCGCTTGAAAAGCGGAAGGGCATAAAGTAATCGGTATGTCCGTCCGTCCGTCTAGCTGTACGTCCGCCTGTCTGTCTGTACGTCCGTCTATCTGTTACGCTTTGGGGTACCCATCTCTTATCCGCAACTCCTCTTATACCACTGCATGAAATTTATTGAAACTTTCACAGAATCTTTATTACATATTGCCATTGTGCACCTCCTATTTTACTTTTTGATCCGACACATATTTTGGGTTTCCCGGCCACAGCAAAACATAAACTTAGCCATTATAACCATATGGGAGGCGGGGAGTATCATTTAGTGAGCTCATTGCTCACAATACCTCTAGTTTGTTTGTTGTTTTTTTAATTTTTCTATAATATTGAAGGGTACCCATGTCTCATCCGCAACTCCTCCTATAACACCGAATAAAATTTAATGATACTTTTTTTTAATTATATATTACCATTTTGTACCTACTATTTTTTACTTTTGATCTGACTTTTATTTCGTGTCTCTCAGAGCAAAGCATGGACTTTGTCATCAAAACCATTTGGGAGGCGGGCGGTATCATTTAGTGAGCTCACTGCTCTCAGTAGTTTTAATTCATTTTCAGAAAACAGAACAATTCTCGGAAAGAAAAATAGGAATTTTAAAGAGAATCGATTTTTTCCACATAAACCAATGATAAATCATATAAATTGTCTCGACGTATTTTAAAGGTAATTTTGCAAGTACTTAAGTATTTGTGACCATGAATTTACTGATAGTGTTACCTTAGGAGCAAAATTTATGAAGTTTGAAAAAGAGAACAAGTAATACACAAACAAAATTTAAAGTTCTAGCACTAACTGTTCAAAAGTTACAGACAATTAAGCTTTTTTTAAATTGCATGGGTAAACGTCAAAGATCAGTATCAAAAAGTCAAGAAATATTGTACCCAAGAAAAGACCTTGTCACAAGACATACACAATGGATATATATGGATATAAAGAACAGTATTCAAGCTCAAAAGTTCATTCAAACAATACATATGAGAAGCAGAACATACTCGGACCTCTAAAACATCAAATGTGGGATCAGGTGCCATGGAGGAGTGAGCATCCCCTGCCTACTGGTCGCATCCGCAGTTTGCTTCATGTCATGATCCTCACTTCGCGACTCTAGCTAGAGCAGACGCTGTAACCATTGCGCCACGCAGGCGACTTTTGTGCTTTGAAAATGATACAAAATGCATAACTTCGAACTAGAGGCACCGTGAGCACTGAGCTCACAAACGATGCGCCAGCCTCCCTTATGATTATAATGGGAAAGACTATACATGTATTTACTCAGGGAGACCCA